AATCTCAGTTCATGCACTGTAAATCCTCTTCCTTGCTTGCCGTTACTGGAGGTCCCCAGCTTTGAGAATGGTATTAATTTCTTCGCTTTTATATCCGCTCTGTTTATCCTATTCTCTTGAAGCCGTCTATAAATTCATAGGAGAAGCCATGTTGGATCAGGCCAATGGCCCATCTAGAGTTCCTATCTACACCTTTATTTATTTATTATCACTAATAGCCACTGATGGACCTCTGCTCCATATTTTACCTAATTCCCTCTTCTTCTTTTTTTTAATAAAGGTTTTATTAGCTCCCCTAAAAAGGGGAGGTATTTCGCTTAAAAGAAAAAAAGGGAAGGGTAGACAGTGGGAGAAAGAGAAAGCTGAGTGATATATAAACTGGTAAATTAAACTGTTAGTAATATCCAATTAATCTTCTTGGGCTTCTTCTGTGTGTTGTCAAACTTCTTTTCTTAGTCCTGTTACATGTAATTCTCTGTTAGTATGTTAGTAATGTTCCTTTGAGTTTCTGTTAATAAAAAAGATCTCTTCTGTGCACATTCAGAACCGCTTCTTTGCGTGCTGGGTACTTTTACTATCGCTGACGTGGAGGAGCTTCCTCTGTTGTCTTCTCCTTCTGGCTTGTTTACCTAATTCCCTCTCGAAGCTGTCCATGCTTTTAGCTGCCGCCACCTCCTGTGGCAGTGAATTCCATGCATTAATCACTCTTTGGGTGAAGATGACAAAAAACCTCCAGGATCCTCGGCCAAACTGTTATACAAATTAATATCCAGTCAAAAATAGGAGATTGAAGTAAAAATGAGGAGGAAGATCTTGTGTGTTAATTGCAATCAAACACGGGAAACAGTTAGGGCAAACGACCCATCAAAATTGACTGCTTTCTGAGCCCAACCAGGAAATACATGAAGTTAAATACTTAATATGACATCATCATACCACCATCATGAAAATAATATTCAGAAAGCATAATTGGTTACAAGAAATTAAACAACATTTAAAGGAAAACTCCTTATGGGTTAAATGTAAAGAAAGGGGTGTCTATACAATAGTGTCACGTATTTACTTGACCTGACCTGAGTCAAGTAAATACCAAGACCAAGGCTTGTTCTCACCCAAACAAAGGTGTTTTTCTCTGATAGGAGTTAAAAATCCTTTTTGACCCAGATACTATGAAGTTATAACCTAAACAATTAGAACCATGAACCTCATACCTTCTTCTGTACCAAAAGAATGCTATTGTCTTGTCTGCTAACCTCAGCTGGGAAAATACCCTGACCTAGAAAGAGAGGCCTTCTATATAACAGGCCTTCATTACATCCCAATGAAATCTTATCAAGAATAAATCTATAAAAACCAGAGAAATATGAATAATAAAAAAGAGAAAATTCTTTATAGTCCCATCTATACTACAAAACCAGGCTGGAGAAAAACTGATCCCTGACCCCAAAGTGGCGATCAGCATTTCCCTGGGCGTGTAAGAAAGGGCCACGAGAACTAAGCACTGAGGCAACCCTCCCAGCCCTCCCTCTCGTAATCTTAACATCCTTCTTGAACCTGCCTCCCAACACAAGACGGGGGCACCTTGTAGCCCGACCTGCATCAAAACAGGACTGGGAAGCCGCACAAGTAGGTTATTCCTGCCCTCACCGTAGCTGACAGCCCGACATCATGTTGTACCCAAACAATACGGGCGTCCGGATCCCTTCCACCGCCAGACAATCCTGAGCAGGTGTGCTCTTCAACATGGTGAACTGGCCGTCTTCAGCCGCAGTCTGGATGATCCCAGAGGTTGATGTAAAGAGTTAAGGGCAACGCGGACTTCTGAATCTTTGCAGGGTCTAACAAGGGATTCAGCCAAACTGATCCAGTGGGGCAACCCACTCTTGTGCCCCGTGCTCGAAAGCCCTGCCAATTTCACCATTCTTTTCCACCCTGGGAACACCAAACGGCTCACCCTGAAGCCCACAAGTGAGCTGATGAGACTCAAGCCGGCTTCACAGACCCACGGAGCTGCCTTGCACTGCATCAGACCCTGGGTCAGACTGGCAGCGACTCTCCAGGGTCTCAGGCTGAGGTCTCTCACATCACCTACTGCCTGGTCCTTTTCTAACTGGAGATGCCGGGGATTGAGCCTCTGCATGCCAAGCAGAGGCTCTTCCACTGAGCCACAGCCCCTCTTTACAGCTCTCCAGGGTCTCAGGCAGAGGTCTTTCACATCACCAGCTGCCTGATCTTTTTCTAACTGGAGATGCCGGGGACTGAACCCAGGACCTTCTGCATGCCAAGCAGAGGCTCTTCCACTGAGCCACAGCCCCCCTTTACAGCTCTCCAGGGTCTCAGGCTGAGGTCTTTCACATCACCTACTGCCTGGTCCTTTTCTAACTGGAGATGCCGGGGACTGAACCCAGGACCTTCTGCATGCCAAGCAGAGGCTCTTCCATTGAGCCACAGCCCTTCCCCCTTCCTGTGTGACAGATGCAGCAAGGGATTCCATGACCCCTACCCTGCCTGGCAACAGACAGGGCAGGCTGGAGATCTTCGCCAGTTTCCATCACCAAACATCCAGAGCTCAGGTAGGCCTGGGGAGACTTGCAGACAACACCTCGTCTCTGCGGCACGCTCTGGAGTTGGCTTTCCTGCAACTTTCCCCCCAGTGACATGCAGCAGCTGCACCTTGCGGCAAGTTCCCGACTGAAGTCCAGCCCTGTAAGTCCTCAGTTCAAGACAGAAAACAAACGTTCACAGAGAAACCTCTTGACAGCATTCTAGCTAGGCTGGGGCAGGTGAGGGGCTGGGACATGAGCTTCAGGT